AAAAAACAAGGGAAATTAAATTTCTATAAATCTCCAAGTAACAATCATTTCTCAAGCCTCTTCTCAAAATGAAGTCCAGAATAGAGAACGACATGTGGCTACTAAAAACTCCATCTGAGAAAAGTCTCCAAAGATGGGCTGTGCTCTTGCAATAGCTTCATCAGCTGAAGACTGACACCAGACAGTTATGACTTCTCTGCCCTGGACATACGAGCCCTGGCTTGGAATGCGCTACTCACCCCTGCCCTCTTCCGCTCCAGAGGTGTCACCACAAGGACCCGCATTTCCTGCGTGTTGCATCCTAAAGCCCCCTGCTTCTAGATCAAACATTTCAGCTTAAACTCCGATTCCCCATTCCACAGAGACTGCGGAGTCTGCTCTGAAGACAGGCTCAATTTCATGCAACAAAAAAAACATGGTCAGAGTAGGAGCTGGGGCCCAGGGGAAAAAACAGGTTCTCTGAATCACAATAGCAAATACCCTTAATTGCACTAATGACCTGTGCCTCAACTAAAGGGAAGGAAGAGCAAAGAGTTTTACGCACTTTTAAACTTGATGGCATGGCAGAGGATGACAGGAGACACTGATCTCACTGAGTAAGAGAGGTTCAGGTATCTCATCTGCCCACTTCTGTGTCGGGTAATCAAGTCAGATAGACCAGAGAAGATAAAGGCATTCAAAAGAAGAATATTAAGACTTTCATGTTTCCTTAAAAAATAATTGCAGGATTTAAAAGAAGAAATTAAGAATGAAAGCTCTTCAGAATAATTTCTGTTACTTTCACCTCCTAAGAGCAGAGGCAGCAGCAGCTGCTGCAGAGACAACCATATACTGAGCAACAGAAAAAGCACTTTTAAGCTATTGCCATACAGCTGCTGACCCACAACGGGTCATACCAGACTGCTGAGCTTATATCTTTGCATAACACAGAAGTCAATATTCCTTAGCTTCACAGGAACAAAGCCAAAGGCATGATTTACACTGCTCTACACCTGCTTACACACAGATGCCAAGGCAGTGGAGGTGGTCAGTTGTATTAGCAGCACTTGCTATCAATCTGATGACATGAGGGTTGGTGGGGTTTCTTTAAGCACAGGTACAAATTATGACTTGAAGTAATACACATTAATTTAGCAGTTAAAGATACAACTCTGCAAATTCTGAAAGACTGAATCATTGGCACAACCGTAGTCCAAGTGCTGTTACAAAGCGGCTTTCCAGCTTTGAGCTCATAAAATTACATTATTTATTGCCTCCAAGATTAATGCACTTTTACCACAGAAATGATCTTAACTTTTGTCAAGTAATATAAAGAGCAGCTGCTTGACACATCAGTAAAGAAACAAGTCTGCTCAATTTTCATATTACAGATAATCTTTTTTTTAAAATAGCTGATAAATCAAGGAGATTGCAGGGCATCTGCATTCTCACTCATTAACATTAGACGTCAAGAAACCGTAAGAATGTTTTGTTTTGGTTCCAAAGCCATCGTTCAGTTGTGGTACTGAAGAATAAATTACCCAAGATACCCGGAAACTAACTGGGTAGTGAGAAACACCTTAAGTGTTTTTGTGTGGCAGGAGAGATGGAGAAGTTTGGGAGAAGTGTCAGTTAATCAAAACCGCATAACAAATTTTGAGCGACACACAAGTTCGTTTTGCAAAATGCATCTTCAAAACTATGCTGCTCTCGTTCCAGAATCCCTGCAATATCCCATTTGCAATGGAGAGAAATTCATCTTTGGGAAATGAAATTGACTTTTAAAAATCCTATGTATGCACATATCTTCACGAGTCCTGGACTAGTCTTTTCCACTCCCCCTCCTCCCAGAGGCAAAATTTTGTGGCACATCTTTCCAACATTACTATCCCATTCCTCATTCATTATCCTGCAAGCACACAGGAAGAGCTTACCCATGAAACAAACAGCTAAAAATTAGTCTTAACTTGCACTATAGCTCATCCATTTCCCAAAATATAACTTGCAGCTTTATTCCAGATTTTCATAATCTTCTTGCAAATTGTTTTTCTCTGGATGATAGGCAAGTAATTCCTGAACAAATACTTAAGACCACCAGTAAGGGAATGAGGCCCCCCCCACCACCACCTTTTTCTGTCTGGAAAGGGAGAGGGAAGAGGGACAGGAGCAGTAGAAAAACAGGTTAATGGAAGATGTAAATTTAATATCACCGTGGAGTAACCACTGTAACAGTAACAATAAAACACTCAAGAATGTCAAGGAGGCCCAGGGGAAGAGGTAGAAAAGCAATGTGAGGAATACAGATGGTCCGGTGAGAACTGTACACCCAACACTACAGCATAGCTGCATGACAACCCTCTACCTACATCACTGCTATATTTTGCTAGAAGATAAGAAATATGAATATCCTCCAATAGCCTACAAAGCTCAAAATTTAAGGGGCAGGGGAAAACAAGCACTAAAATATTATAGCTTATATACCAAGGGAGAAGCATAACCATGATACACAGATTTTATTGTTTGAAAGAGGTCAATACCAGCATTCACAGAAGAAAAACTTCCCTTTAGTCACTAAATCAACACACCTGTCATTACATGATCAAGTGTATACTTCATATCAATGACCTGAGGTCCCACAATTCTTGGAAAGATAGCTTGTCAATGCACCATGAGACCCCACATCTCAGACCGCATCCTCTCTTGTACTACCAGCAAGTTATCTCCTCTTGATGTTTTGCATCATAACTCCTCAGTGCCTCCAAAAAACAACACCTATAGAGTAGCTGACACTCTGCTCCTTGATAGTAAGCTAAACAAAGTTCTTCATCCCAAACCGAGATAACAAGTAATCTAGAATTCACCCTTTACTTTCTCAAAACACCCTATGTCAATCTCCCTGCAATCCAGGAGCAGGAACTCAGCACTGAAAATGGCAGCAGGTTATTTTCCTTTATGGAAAAGTCACCACATTGGTGGTGCCAAGCTAGCAAATAGCCTGTTGATAAGACTATGTGGTAACAAGCCAAAAAGTTGCTGCAGAAGTACATAACTTTGCTTCACAGTGCATATGGTGGCATTCACACAAATGTCTTACAAGCAGGCTAAGCTGGCAGGTTTTTCTTAGTAGTTAAGACATGCTTAGAGCAACTCAATGGTTTGCAGGCCTAAAACAACAGGAATATTACCTATTCTTTCTAAAACAGCTCAAAAGGCAGCCATAAAAAACTGTACATGACAAAGACAATTTTGGGTGAGGGGCAGGGGGAGGCACACGAGCACACATAGCTTCTGGAGAGTTAACAATGACAGGATAACCACTTCTTTAGAGCCCAAACAAGCAAAACGCATTTAGCTCTGACAGTTATAAGTTACTGCTTATCTACACACGACAGACAAATTCGTAACATCACTTCCTAACATTACTAAAGCTGTAGCCTCAGTAACTACAAAGAGGAAAGCTGAAAAGGACCCACATAAGTAGGTTAATCGAAAGCATCACTCCAGAACTATCAGTATCAACAAACTCCTTTTTCTACAGCCCATCTACTGGGCAACACAGGGTACAACAGTCACAGCTGGAGTTTTGAAAATTTCTGGTGAACTCCTCTTTCTGTTTCTTCTGTCTTCTATTTTAGAACCTGATTTTGACTGCATGTACCACAGTGACTGTGGAAGCTAAGAAGTAAGATCCCAAAAAAAAAAAAAAAAAGACCGTGAAAGATGAGAACTTTTAAAGCATATCAGAAAGCATCTAAACCTATGTTTTGTGGAATATTTAACCACATCAGCAATTAATAACGTAGACAAAAGAAGTCCTTGTTAAATATTAAGCACCTGTGCCCTTTCCGTTAGGGAGAAAGAGCTCATGATAAATGCCCCAAGACATCCAACAACAAAGATGCCCTAAGGAAAAATACCAGAGTTTTCAAGCAGTCTTTATAACACATAACAGATAAAGAACCAATTATACCCTCTCCTTTTAATCTAGCACAAATAACCTTTAAATAATTCTTATATCACGTCAACAGGATATATTTTAAGCTGTTCTCAAAGGAACACTATCAGCATAAGTAACCTTTCTTTAAATTTTACTGTATTGCTAATTTCAATATTGAAGAGCATATATTTTATCACCTGCCATCATCACATTTTACATCCTTGACAGTGAAGAGAGACCCATCGGCTTCACTATGATCCAGGCACTAGGGTAGGATTTAAGCAATTAATGTGTTAGAAGCAAATACACTGGAAAACCCTCATTTAAGTCTTTCGATCTCAGTTTTGAAGGCTTAACTTCAGTTGACCCAGTCTTGAGCATTTAGAGGCTTGCACCACACAAAGCTTTAGGTGGCCCCAAAAAGCCATCAACACCATGACATTTGCCCTTGTTACTCTTAACTCCTATTTCTTCTCCAATTTCTTTGCACTGGCAAACACAATTAAGGAAAATTAGCCACCAGCAGCTCCAGCTGTCTGGAGTAACATCATAATAAGTGATTTTAAGCATCAGAAAAGACGACTGTGCCATCTACACTAGTTCTGTGCCCTGCATACTGTAGGCTGACAGCCTCTGTGTCACCTGAAGTCTTCATCAGATCAAAGCTCCTGCTACACTATTCAGCAACAAGCAGTGGTTTTTAAGCAAGCATATAAAAGCTACAGAAAAGATGCAGCAGTTTTTCTGCCACTTACACTGCCTCCACAAACGCCATAACTTAACCCCCTTTTTTCCATTACTGAACTGACTAGGGTGAGAAAACAAATCAGTCGCTGGAGAAGAGCTCCTATTTATCCTCCCAGCCCTCGCTAGCCAGGCAGCTACATTCACACTGGAAGATAAAACATGGAGACACAGCTACATATGGCAGCTGGAGGCCACAAGGCTTGCACCCAGAAGTTGGTATGTGTTGGAAGACCTGAGGATGTCAGCCAGAGGAGTGACAGCCGTCCAGGAAGGATCTATTTTAATGGATCTCCTTTCCACTCGGTCCCGCTCCCTCACCGGGGAGCAAGGTACCTACCTGTGCCGGTGCTCGTCGTGCCCTTGCCCGTGGATGAGGAATCCGCCGAGGTTCTTGCCCCCTTTGCTGGTGTCCACGTGAGGAATGAGCACATCCTCCAAGCCCAGGTCAAAGCGCTTGTGCTTCGAGGAGTCGGGGAGGAAGAAGAACGCCCCGAAGCACAGGGTGATGAAGGCACTAAGAATAAGGAGCAGGATAAATTTTTCGGAGAGTCTCAAGGTAGCCCTGTGGTGCGGGAAGGCAGAGGACCCCAGGTTCAGGG